CAGAAATCGCGACAATCGCGACTATCATGGGCAAATTGCTCAGGGCGCATGCGCAAACAAGGATTCTTCTTTTTATTCTTCCTCTCAGATGTAAACACAGCAGCATGGCAGGGATGCAATGACTGAAATGCAGCTCTGTCGGAAAAATCTTTTTTCTCACACTGTACGACTAAACGCAGGGTTTAGTCGTATAGTGTGAGCAGCAAGTGTGTGCAACGATAAAAAAAAAAATTGCACAGTGTATGCCCAGCTTTATTACTTTTGTCAGATTCAAGTTATTTTTGTGAGAATTGTGGGTTTTTCTTTTATCAAATGAAGGCTACCAACAACTTTGTTCACATGTGTTTCTCTTCAGGTCATCTTTAGATTGTTCAAACATTTTCTTTAGACATTGGCTTCTTTTCTTCACCAGCCACAAGTAGTCCATGTTAACTGAACCATAGTTGATTTCCCCTTTGGTCAGGACCAAACAACCAGACCAGTGTTGGTTCTGAAATGTGCAAATTGTAGCTCCTACTTCGTGTTCCTAGCGCCTCTTCCTTCACCTTTTATTTGATAACAAAAATAACATTTCAGACTGCTGTGCTGAATCTGTGCATCTCTCAGCCTTAACATATGGATGATGTAATTCAATAACAGTACCACAGCCTTCCAAAAAGGAACAACAAAAAATGGACAAATCTAGCATGCAAAGAACTTGCAAAGAAATTACGTTATTTTAGTTCAGCTCTGCGAGGTGGGCTGTGCTTATAAGTTATGTCTCGCAAAGGATTCTTGGAGATGTTATAACTCCTAAGCATTGGACGGGAATGTTGGTAGTTTCCTATGCTAAATGAACTATAAATAGGAAGCTTCCTCTGCCTACCTTCCTTCTTACTGCCAGCACTACTGTGATAGCACTTATCATCTGAACTACTGACACACAGTCGTTCAAGTGTCCTTACAGATTTGTCTGACTTGGATATATGTGAGGCCACTTTTTGAGGTGGTCTTGGTTCACTTCCAAATGGATTTTGGTGTGTATTACCTCAGGGATGGATACAAACCAACCTCGGTCCAGCCCCAATGCAGCAAGCATACACCGCCGTGGACTTAGCAAGCAACTGTAGCAGTAAATGTAGTATTGAAATAGTACCTTCCCCACTGTCTGTCGCTTAGCAACACTGCTCCCAGCAAGCAGTCAATCTCCCTCGGCTTAAAGGATGCATTCCCCGGCACCATCACAAAATTTATACTGAAAGTTTCAAAATCTACTTTCAATGAGCGGTTTTTCACCCTCTTCAATGATTTTGCAGCTGTAATAAGAGCATAGATTTATAGATCACTTAGAGGGAACTATAATTTGATGGAAAATCAGACCAACCAAAAACATACAGTCTGTTTCATGTCTGGACAAAACAAGGAGACCAATAAAATTTTCTGGTGTAAATACACCCAGAGTAATGTTACAGTATGTAGTTAGTTTTTTTTTTTAGTTTTTTTTTAAGACCCAAACTTTGTCAATATTAATTGAAACAATGACTGCAGATGTTTATTTTATCCTAGGAATAATGTAATATATGGGGGATTTAATAATTATTTTTCTTTGCCTTCGGGTTTTGAGCAATTATTGTTTATCAAAGTAGCAGATGGAAATTATTTTGTTAGCGATTAGCCTTATTAAAGTTGCTACCTCTACAGAAAGAGAAATCCTCTGTATCTTATAGAAGATAGAGCCTTACGTTAATTTAGAATTTCTCAAACATTGTGAAAATTTCCAATTCAGGCACCTTCCAGTACAAAGATTAAAGGTTCAAAATGAAAAATCAGTAGATACTGATACTCCTTTTAGCCTTCCTGTTATGTGCTGAAAATGTTGCTCTCTCTTGCTCTTTCTCTTGCTCATAAATTGGTAGCATTTAGTAGTAGATTTTGATTTTGAAAAGGTCAAAGTGATTGTTGAAGGTTAGTCAAGCACAAATGGTTCCGTGCATTTTTGATAGAAGATACTTGAAGATCTGTCACATTATACATGATAAAACAGAAAAGTACCCAAAAAGGTGTTTGGAATATTTGGGAGTTCTTCTTAACTGTGTTGTCAAAAGGTCCTATATAGTTCCTGTTTCTTTGCTAAGACTCAAGCTATGGATAAGTATGATTTAAATATTAGGAGACATGTCAGGTCACCATATCTATTTCATCATCATTTGTTTAATTTGTTTAATCTTCATTTTTTATTTTATTTTTTAAATTGATAAACCCCACAATACATTGTTATGGACAGATAGGATAACCAGGTCCAAAATGTACAAAACAAAAAACAAAAAACAAAACAGCCAAAGTCTATTAAATATCTCTACAGCAACTGTTATTAAGACAAGTGTATGTGTGTTTTGAAGGGATATTATGGAGATTTGTTGCTAGGAAGATAATGTTGCAAGGATTTTCTGTACCCCATAACCAAGATAAGTTTAATCTCAGATACATTGATAATATTTTAGGTGATAGTGTTGGTCATTTTGATTTAGATAAATCTGTAAACCTTTACATCTGAGTGTGTATGTGCTGACATTAAACTTTGCCTCTACTTACTTGTTTAGGTGCTATTTTGAAGCTAATTGAACCATGGTGCAGTGCTACAATAATAGTTTCCCTAAGGGTGGTCATGAAAATGTATAAGGCATCTCCCTTTGCCCTGAGCCAAATTAACTTTCTGTAATCACATAGGTGGAAATAAAGTCTGGATGTGCTAACTTGTTAATATTGATTTTAGTCTGCATTTCATTACAGCTCTGTTTAAACCGAAGAGAAACTTTCAAAAAAAAAAAAAAAAGCGAAGAGGTCTGTTACCGATGGAACTGGAGGAAAAGGAGTAGGTGGAAGTAAAGCTCTCAGCACTCAGCCTTTTTTATTACCTTCCTCCTCTCCTCTATTGATCAACATAAGCCTCTGATTTATAGCTTGCTGCTGCTGAGCCTACTTGGTAATTACAAAGGCTTGAAAAGGGACAGGAGAGCTAATGTGGGGAATGGGGGTGGGCGCTCACACATATGTGGACACAGTAGACACATTTACGGACTTGCTTTTAACACAAACTCTGTGTAAGAAAAGTTTCACTGCAAACAAGATTCACTGATTCAACCTGAAGTCCTAAGTAAAATCATTTACTGGGTCAGAACACGGAGCTAAAACTCTTTCAAAAGTATTTACTTGATCTTCAGTTGCTTTTTAACCCATTTCAGCCCAGCAGCTAGATGACGCTTTCAGAGGAATGTTTTATGTTAGTCATTAAGTCACTTAGTGAGAGGGATCATAAAAATCCAATGATTTGGTGGCATCACTTGGTGGTTTGTTTTCTGAAGAACCGAAGATATAGTCATAGCTGATATGGTTTCACCATAACCACTGTTCAAGCAGTTTCAGCAAAAAAAAAAAGGTTGAGTCGCGAAGGCTGTTTGTCTGTTTTAGAGACTGCTTTTTTTATCCGGGAAAAGTTGCATCACAATCACTGCCGGTCACTACTTCACCAGTTGGTGAATTAAAGACTCTGTTTTCACACAGCAATCGTACTGTTAGTCACAGTAAAGGATGAGGTCATAGCTGCAGTATGTCAAGGAGCGAAACAGGACTAAGTACTGAAAAAGAGCCCCAACTCTATCATCTATAATCAGAGGTATTGATGGCAGCAGCCCAACTTAATACTGCATTTTTCTCCATGATGGCCACCCACTCAAATAGGATGTCAGATGAAGTTACTATAGGGCAGACAAATTATATAGAAACTATAGTTAGCGGTTGAACTAACAAACTAAAGCACAGCAGATTAGTACCGATTATCGCTAAAAATCGACCAGTTTTGGAACATTTCTTACCATTGCCTTTTTACCGTATGTCAAATTTCAGAATGAAACCCCTCATTTAGAATAGAGCAGAATAGAATAGAATAGAAAATCCTTTTATTGTCCCACAATGGGGAAGTTATGTTACAGCAGTAAATCAGTTACTAATTATTTGTATGTGCAATTCTAGCCTTTAAACACAACTTCAGCAGGCTTTTATAATTATTAAATTACTTTACAAAATAAACACCTTCACATTTGGTTTAGCAGATCATTGCAGCATATATTTTGCAGATAGTTTTATATCTAAGGGAAACATATCACAGGACATTACAACTTTTTTTTCTTTTTTATGTGTTTTGTACTATACGCACTCTTTTTATATTGTCTGTCATATTTCTATATTTAATTGCATCTAGATTTAACTCCTCTACAAAAGCTACTGGAGCCAAAATTTTCCTGAAGGAGTAATCGCAAGAGATAAAAATAAAAGCATCACTATTTTACATGTACCCTATAACAAAATATGTCCGGTTGGTTTTAATTCTTCTTTGTACAGATGTTTGACAAAAATGTCAAGCCTGATGAAATGTTTTAACATGTCTTGATGAACTCTGAATCCCTCATTAAGGCACACACCTAAATATGTAGCAGAGACTCTGACACAGTTTGCTCTAATTATGTTCGTAAAACGTATTACCCTCTTATTAAACCTGAAGCAAGCTCATCTACAGGACGGTTTCTGGCCAAGCCTTGCTAGCCTTTGATAGATACTACAAGATTGTCGGGCTGCTTGAAAGCAATAAAGGAAAGATAATCAATACAGTAATATACAGTAGTGTTTCTGTGTCATGACATTTTGAAACAACAGAAGCCTTGTTAATCTTTGTGTTGATATATGTACATCCCTGCTTTAAGACCTTTAATGAAATAAGATCCTCTGGTGTTAGGGATGCTCTGATATGTCAGCTTATGCTTTATAAACAGCATGGCTCATTGCAGAAGGCTGCATCATCACCACGTGTTTGTTCTCTAAGTGTGCGTATGTGCTTGTTTACCGTGCTGCTGTGACCTTCCCTCAATGCAGTAACTCACCTGACGTCAAATCTGTTTAGTTTTTCTGTTGTTTTTTTTTTGTGCTGGTCGACTGACCCAACCCCTCCTCTGTCTATTATCCACCAGTGAACAACCTGGCTCGGTCCAAGTACTGCTGACGCCCAATCAGGAAGAGGAAGAAGACGAGTCGACGACCAACCGACACGCTGCTCAGGGTCAAAGCCCACCCCCACCTCCTCCACCTTACCACCCCTCTCTCCCTCGACCAACGCTCACCCTTAGTATTAGTCACCCCTGCAGCCCGTCCAGTCAAAGGGAGGAGGAGGAGAAACGAGATGAGGAGTGTGAGGATGGAAGCGAGGGGATGGGGGTAAGGCTATGTGAGTTACTGCAGGCTGGGGGTGTGAGTGTCAGACCTCTAGGCAAGCACTTAGCCATCTCTCTACCCTCACTTCCTCTTCGTCTCTGGGATACACACACCTCACACTCTGCGCACAACCCGCCACCGCCCTGTTCTCCTCCCCCATCAACCCCTCCAGAATATTACGGGCAAAGGAAACACCTCACGCCGCTCTGGCAGCCGCCACGACCACATTCTCCCGATAATAGGTCTCCCCATTGGCAACAGCACGCAGTCCTTGCAGACGGAAGCACCCGTCACTGGTCCTCTTGGAGTCTGGACTGCCCGGATGCTGTGGTAACGCCATATGACACACCCCCGGACCGCTGCTTTCCCATCAGACCACAGAATCTCGGTCAGAGCTGCAGCTACAGTTCTCAGTCTTCTCCAGGGCACTACAGCTCCCAGCATACCCCGGTGCAGCAGGGTGATGTCTGCTGTGAACGTGAAGAGACTGAGCTGTCCGAGCTGGACTCCCTTTATCAGGCCAGTCTGCAGGCTGGGAGAACAGGTACAAAAAACACACACACAAATTTCCTAGGATAGACCTAAAATATTTTCATCACTCATTGCTCCATCCTCTTGGTGTAATTTACCGTAAATGCCATTTGGACATCAGACAGCATGATGCTGCCACCACCATGCCTGCAAGTTGGTAGAATCTTCTTAGATGTAAAAGCCCCTTCAGATATGCTTTTTGTTAGAGCGATATGGTCAAACCTTTTATCACAATGTATATTTTAATCTTGGTCGATATGATGTATTTACAATATTAAGATAAAAAAAAAAAGTAATTAATGATTGCCAAGAATGTCAGCAACAGAATTCTGTACAAAGTTACAACAAATATTTTACAAGGTTTATAAAACTCCTGTGAAATATTCCCTTTAAAAATACAAAACGCATTAAAATACATTAAACCTAGAATGTCAGTCAGTGTCAAAAATTGTAATGTACGTTAATATATCTTTAATGTGTTTTAAAGTCATATTATTAAATAGAATTATATTGCTATTAATATATTTAGAATTAATTATTTTTAAGCCCGGGTTTCTATCCTATGACTGAATAGCTTCATTTTTCTCTTGCCTGACTGTCAGATTTTTCTCCTGAAGGACTTTGCCTCTCCATGTAGACGGCTACAAATCTCAGCTAAGTTTGAAGCTTGTTCTTTTGGATCTAAGGGGTTCTCTCTTGGTCATCACTCTCTCATTTTGCTGTAATCAGTGACTCTGTTGTTCAAGTTTTATACAGTTTATGATGTAGAACTTCAGATAGTTTCTAAACAACCCGTTTATTTTCCTTTTTTGGAGGTAAAGGTCTCGGTTATATGATTCATAGTTCTGCTAGTTTTTGAAAAAAATAAAAATAACAAAAGAATGACTCGGACTTGAAGGAATATAAAAGATTTCTGGACAAAAATTATTATAAAAACAAACACTTTACTTAATGACTACGATATCTACCAAGAGAGATAGTCGAATACAGAGCAAGGATTACACAAAGACCTTGCTGATGACAACAGAAAGTCTATAGTGTTGCTTGCCTGGAGATGTTTTTCTAAATTTGAGCGGGGTTGTAGGTATATTTGGGGGTTCCTACTTTGTTTTGAAGAATTATTCACAAGAAACATTTATGAAAATTCACCTTAAGGCCCTTACTTTTTTAAATGTTACAAAAGTTGTAAGTTTTAACAACTTAATGTTTCTCCATTAAAAAATAAAAATGCGTCCTTTAGTACCCGAAATTAAAATAACATTGATGGCAATCGACTTTTGCTCGACTTTGTCCTGACTTTGTCCCTCATTACATTTATTACTTTTTTTTTTTCAAATATCTCTTCCACAGACAGAAAAATATAATGTAGTATATTGAGCTGATGGGCTCTCTGTAGTTTGCCTAACTACTATGGCCTAGTATTGTGCTAGTACAGCCTGCTGAAAGAGCAAGTGACATGGAAATGGAACCAACAGTTAGCGAGGAATAATGGAATCCTCCACACGACCGGTGCCCCGAGGCACCAGGTCACAAACAGCTTAGCCGAGAGATACGTCTCATCGTTCAAGGCTGGCATGAAAAAGCTGGAGAGAGAAGATTTGAGCATTGAAAACAAAGTCTCTCATTTCCTGCTATGGTATCGCACAACTCCCAACAGGAGTCAGGGCCTGTGTCCTACAAGGTCCGCAGGGAAATGACAGATCAGGATACTAACCCTACGGAGACCAGCTGAGACCCCACCATTCTGCGGGGCTTCCAGATCTGCAACATGAGGAAGTAGCTGAGGAGACGGGGCCGATGGAGAGCAGTTTTAGAACATCCCCAATACCTAAACTGTCAGAGCTAGCTGAGACGCCTGGTCCTGTTGCGGTGACCCTAAAGTGCTCCCAGCGTACCCCAAAAGTGCCTCCACATTACCAGGACTGACTGTAGTGATAAGAGACTGAATGCTGATGTTTAGTTTAAGTTACAGTTTTGCATTCAGTTTATTCAGTTAAGCATTCAGTTAACTTTATTATGCAGTATAGGAAATATTGATATTTATTATCTTAATGCCAAGTAATGATGTATTTTATGTTAAGGTTTTTGGCTAGTAAAGTAATGCTCCAAGTTAACCTTTAAGTAAATGAGGGACATACTGTATATTTAATATGATTTGGAATGTCTAAATCTTTCTAAGTTACCTTTAAAGGGGGAGGTGATGTGGTATATGGCTCTCTGTAGTTTTCCTATGTTGTATGTGATATGCCTTGATGGATTCACCAGAACACGAGCCACAGTTGGCATGTTGTAGTAATGTTTATCAAGTACTTCAGTAAATGTGGTTAAATGTTTTCAAGCGTCTCATCATTAATACATCACTACAAACCTCTAAATTATGAAATATGTCTTCAAAAAAGCCATATTTTTGACTGGCCACCTTGAACAGAGCGTACCTCAGCACAGCATACCTAGATGGTGGTCATTTTGGTAATGAATGGCTTTGGTAAACTGTGAACTATGGTAAACATATTGGACAAACTTCTTCAAATGTGTGCAAAAAGAATAAGGTGGTGACTCCTGCCCTGAAGGACACAATCTGGCTGTCCAGTCATGCACAGCATACTCATCTGTGAACACATTTCGGAGGGAAACTATTAAAATAATTCCACTTACCTCAAACTTCACCATGAAATATAAAGACCTAAACATTGTCTTTGCTCAGCTTTTATTATTTATCCTTTTAGGAAACCTGCTCCAGCAACACAAAGCTTTTTTCAGTTAAACAATCAGACATTGGTCCATTTCCAACGTGTCTCTGGCCTCTTTTTATGGATGTATGACCAACAGAAGTTTGTATTAGGGAAAATTTCATTGATTGGTATTTTATTAGAATAAAACCTGGATTTTATTACAGTGCTGAATAAACCTAGTGGTTCTTTAGGAGTGAAGGGTTTTTTAAATGGGGTGTATTTGACATCATTAAAGTCACAACATTTCACCCTATTAGAAACATATGTAAAGTGATTCTCAAAGTAACCCGGGAATGGTCCAAAAAACAGAAACACATGCTTTATTGTATATGATTGATGAAGCATAAATTATCTAAAAACATTTAAAAGTGCACCTTAGGAGGGCACCCCTAGGGTCCCCGTCCGTTGGAGTTCCCTGACCAGCCCCAGAGCTCCCGGGTCTGTTCGGTGCCCGGTGTGTTTCGACTACGTGCTGCACTGTAGTCGACCAAAATCATGGATGATTTTGAAATTCCCTACTTTTTAGGTATGAAAAGTAGGACATGTCTGGGAAACGAGGACGTCTGTTCACCCTAGCACCCCTCATATTAGAGGGTCACTAAGTAGACTAGTAAAGAATAGAAGAAATCTGCAGAAAACATGTTCTGATTCTAAACATCTTCATGTTGGAACTTTGAAAAGGATCTGATTTTTTTAGGGGAGCCTGTCTGGGTTTGATGCGGTGTCTGATCAGAAAGCTCTGTGTACAGGAAACTGGCACTAGTTCCTGATCACAGCAACCATCCAATATCAGTTCAGAGAATAAACTGTTAAAAATACATCTGGGTTTGTCATGTGTGATCTGTGCCGACCTGAAAGATGGAAAGAAGGATTAATAATTTTCAACTAGTTTCCACCTATTTTTATTCCGAATGACGTCTTCAGTAGAGTCTACTCATGTGTGATTTAAAAATATCACAAATAAAAACAGTATAAATCCAAAATTCTAAAAGGAATGTTAGGAATGAGTCTGCCGAGGTTTGGTACATCTTATAAAGGTAATATTGGGGTACTACATAACAGACACATGTCCGTCTACCTTATCAGGTGCAAACCTAAGCAGCTGTAAGGTAAATAACTCCATGAGGAGCTGCAGAGACCCACTACTCTGGTGGAAGAGTCTGTTTACACGTTTACTACTACTGTAATTCTCCATGGTTTGACGTTTGCTACAAGTCATGTTGGGGTCATAACAGCAGATAAGTACAGGACACCTTGGTCGAGAAACCAAAATTAGACATCCTTCCGATCTCACAACACTGGTCGTGAAACATGGTGGTGGCAGTATCATTCTGTCAGGGAAACTGTTCAGATAGAAAGATGAAGATGATTAATAAAACGACTTCATTAGTTTATTGTTGAATTTAAATTTGATGTTTGCAGCTGTATCATGACAAAATGTGCTCCAGAATTAGGCATCTGTAAACCTGTATGTTGGACATAGTTGGACTATTTTTATGAGAACTGATAACTGCCTCTTTTTTGCTCTTTTTGATTCAGCCTATGAAAAGCTTTGGGTCTCATGATTTTCCCTCATCTGCATCCTTACAGGCTGCAGCCCATCTGAAAGGCTGATATCCAGGATGGGAGTTCAGACGCGCTCCAAGACCCCCAGCGCAGACATGGAGAGGAGCGCGTATGGGGCGCACAGCACCAGCAGCCCCACCTACCTCAACAAGGCAACACCTGCTTAATGATCTCTGCAGATTGACGTCACACCTTCACAGGTCATCAGTTGGATCCATTTTCAGGGATGATAAAGGACTTTCTTTTTCTCTCTGTCTATTTTCAGCCAGTGACGCTGCGGGTGGAGCCTGATGATGGGGAGAACCAGAGGCGAATTGGACGCAGCCTGAGCGGCACAGTGGTGACCTCCCGCCGCAGCCGCCTCACTGCAACCCGCAGCTTTGTAAGTAGGATTATAAGTGCTCTGCTGTCTCCCTGTGGCCTTAATCTGAAATGCATCTGCTTAATGTCCCTCGGTCACGTTTCATGCATTGCTTGTCCCTGTGCTCTTCTACCTCCTGCTGTTTGTCTCATTTCTTCCTATTCTTCTGTTTCCAATCTGTCCCCCTGCTCTCTGCTTCTCTCTCTGTCTCTCTCTAAGGTGAAGCAGGCTGATGTCAGTGCCTCTCCTTGCTTACTTCCTCTCTTCTGAGTCCCTGTTGCTATTCCACCACCATCACTTCCTCCATCCTCATAATCAACACCTCCTCATCACCACTTCCCTTCACTGCTTTACAGGTAAACACTGCTTCTTCAGAGCAAACTAATGCTGCCGTGCATCTCCAGTTAACCTAGAGGGGGGCTGGAGCTGCTAATTTGTGAGCCAGATAAATTGAAAGTGAGAGACATGAACAAATTATGTGATAATGATTAAATAGGAGACGTGTTAAATCTCAGATTGAGTTTCTTTAATGGTGCAGATGCTAGACTAACCTGACACTGAAGCAGCAAACTTTTAATTTACACGTACTGTACACTACATTGTTGGAATAAACTCAGATTTCGTAGAGATTGTTTTTTTTTTTTAAATGTATAAGGAGTTATAAATGGTTATTTCCCATTTCAAGAGGATCATAAAAAGAGGATAAATAAGCTGTTTATTACACCCTGTCACTTTAGACGAATATTGTTGAAAAGTTAAGTGGTTTCAGTAAATCTATGTAAAAAGCTAAACTCCTTTATTGTAGAATATTTCACATAACCAGTGAAATATAAGATTTTTTCATTTATTATGGTTTAAATGGCTTACAATTGAGAACCTATAATATTAATACACAAGACCAGCAGAACAAATTGTTTTTAAAGAAATATTGATTATTGCATACATAATAATAAAGGGAGAACTGCTGATTGAAAAGGTTTAACACAATCAGGGTGACCCAGTAAGGTCATTGTTAAAGATGCTGCCATAATAATTGATACCATTATTTGTGTTTTTACATTTCACTTAAACTACCTTTAAATAGGATTTTTTTTACGTTACAAAATTAATACCTTCTAGTAATTAAATGTGAAGTTGAAGGCAAATGATAGATGGTTAGAAAAGCTTTTTACAGATAATCTGAAGTGTGGCAAGCTTTAGTGGACAAACAGCATCATAAGGCAGATGAAACAAAGCAGACAAATCAGCTTCAAACATTATAGATTCCCATGGAAAGGGACATTTTTGAGTTTAGGGTAAACCAAGAGACAGAACTTATGTGGGAAAAGATGCTTCGGTCTGATAAAAACCAAAACTCAACATTCAACCTGCAAAATGCTGAATGTATTGAGAAGCAAACCGAAAATATGACCATAAGCAATAAGAGAACATGGTGGTGGAGGTATTATGCTGTGTGGATGCTTTTCTTCTTCATGGATGCTTTTGAGCATTAATGGGAAGCTGAATGGAGCTAAATGCGGACAAACCTTCCAGCAGGTCAACCACCCCAAACTGTTTGGATCAAAGCCTATCCTAACAAATGGCACAATTAAACTATTTACCTGAATTAGTTTTAAGATCCACAAATTCCTACTTATTGCTTCTCTCATTTCGAAAGATCTACACAGCCAGTGGAGACAAAACTCAAATAACTTGCAGCTTAATGACGCTATCTATTTCACTTCACAATTATGCACTCCTTTGGTCTCTTATATAAAATCCATGAAATATAACTTTATCCACAGAATCAAAAAAATATTACATCTACAGAGGACTGTTTATATCCCTCCTCCTCTGACCTGTTGTTTATCTCCTCCGTCCAGGAGCTGTCGGGTGGTGCTGGAAGTTTCTGGCTGTGTCTGACAGGAGTCAAGCTGTCCTCGGACCAGAGCCCTGCTCTGTTTCATTGATATCCCACCCCTGCCCTCCTCTGTAACCTCCCCACGGGACGGCGGTGCTGCGGTCCCTGGCTGTGTCACCTCGAGGGACCCAGGAACCAGTCAAGGTCTCTTCTTGACAGCCATCCTGCTCCAGCACCTTCTCCTTCAAAATCTTGTACACAAACACATGCACGCACATATCTGCACTGACGTCGAGCCTCCGTCCGCGCCTGAAGCACCCTGCTTTAGCCCCTACTTGCCTTCCCTTCCTACTTATTCTGTCTATGCAGTCACTCTGACCCCTTAAACTATAACCTCCCTTTCTTTCCTGGGACTGTTTCTCGTCTCCCTTTGGGTTTTTTGGGAGGATTCCCTGTGCAGGCGGCCGGATCCAAATGGGACTGGAGCTGTCTGCATACTTGTCCCCCACCCCAACAGGACCGTCAGCTCGACGGGAGACTATAACCAAGTAGCTACTTCCTCTTTCTTCATGGGCATTTTCCCGTTGGACGCACATGTAGCTGAACTGACAGCCATATTTTTCTCTCTTTTTCTTTCCTTTAGTTTGTTCTTTCTGTTTTCCTTCCTGGAACTGAACTCTGACAACTAAGCGTGTACAGAAAAACATGCATGAAACCTGTATGTTAATTAATAAGACCTTATGGAATGTTGATAATTAACAAGTATTGATAAACTAAAAGTGGTACTTCCTTATGTCTGCATTTCAAATAGCAGTGGAGTGCACTTTACAAGTGTCTAGCTGGAGTTTCCGCCCCAAATACCCCTCTATCCCCACCCCTAAAAAAAAAAAAACAACTGCTTGCTGACCTAATGACAGCTCTCCCGCTTCTACTGGGAGATTTAACGAGAAAAGCGCTTCCTGTTACTTTTTTCCTTTCTTTTACTTGCTTTTCTTTGTTCTGAAAGGGAAGCATAAGCATCACAACCAGGTCAGCAGGAAGAGGGTCTAGAAGTAAAAGAGAGGGAGGAATTTAGGTTAGGAAACCCGCCTCTTACGGGCTACTTTATCAATGAACACGGATGACTCAAGTGCACTTTGAAAGGAAAAAGTGCACTTTTTAGGGAAGGTTTTTGAGTGAGAGAGGTCCTTTTGGTTTTGTTTTACTCCAAGGCCTCAGGTGAACTTCAGTGGCACTTATAAATTCCCACTTTTATGATATGTGACGCTGGTTCGGAGACCCAGATGGGAGCAAAAACGGCACATCTTCAGCCTGATACGGTTATGTGTCTAACAAAAATATGCTTTATATGATGTATTAGAGGTATATTTTCAGCCAGTGAGCTATCTTAAGAGATGTCAAGCATTACTCTGTGGTGTAAACATGAAATCATTCCCATAAAAAAATGAGCTGTATATACATATCTCTATATATAGATAAATATATATATATATATATATCTATATATATATATATATAGATATATATATATATATATATATATATAGATATATATATATATATATATATATAGATATGATGTATGAGGAAACCCTTATAAATCACAAATCAATCGAGCGGTGTAAAGTTTTGCAAGGATTTACTAATGTTGACTGATCGTTGTAACAAAAAACCAAAGGTTGGCACTTAGCTTGTTATTCTCTTTGTTCATTTAGGTTGTTGTTGATTGTTTGCTGTCTCTTTTTCTTTTGGTTGTGGATGTGGGAGAATGTAGCCAATTGTAGCGCATGAGTCCGCTATGCAACTAAACCTTCCCTCGTAGTCCTGTGTCAGAGACGGCGAGGAGCCAGGGCGCTCACATGGACGGGGACGATGAGGAGAACTCATGTTTTAATGCTGCTGGTGACCTTTGTTGTTTTGCGTCAAATTGCTACATTTTAGCTGATGGAAGCAAAAAAATAAAAACAACACAATGAAGAGGCAGAGAAGATGAGAGGTAATGAATGTAAAGTGCAGAGTGTGACGGTGAATGATGGGTAGGAGACGGGGGAGGGTGGACAGTACCTGGAGATGGCTTTTTAAGAGGGCGTGTGTAGACTGTCAATTTCGGGTCTAGTGTTGCTTGGAGAGAAGGATCCTGTATTTTTGCAATAAAGTAATATTCAACGTACTCCTGCAGGGGGTTTAACCACCATAACGTGTCGTTTTTGTCTGTTTCTTTGGGAGATCAAACAGGTGCAAGTCCAAAAATTAAACTATCATCAAAAAGTTTTTTTTATTTTACGTGATAACCAAGGTGAATCATATACAGTAATAGGTGGAAAACTGAGACAGTAATACGTCATTTAAAATCTTTTCTACACATATGAGAAGCCTTTTTATCAAATACAATTTGAATGATGAAATATACATGCAAATTATTGTTACGCATCCGTCTCAAACTAGTGTATGTTGTAAGATCAAACACTTTGCATATCCCACACACACCAAGAACAGGATAGGGAACATTTCGCTGTTCCATCCAAATGTCAAAGTCATGCCTTATTGGCTTAATTTACAGTCTATATATTGTGTTTGATCCCATATTTTTCCAATTATGGAGTAATCTCTATGTAATGCAAAAAAGAGGAAAGCATTTTAAGGTTTAACAGAATTTATTCAAATGAGAAATAACAGAACAATTAATGAGCAAATCATACAGAAAAACAATTCCTATACCTCAACCTTTGTTCTCCTCCATGCGCAGCAGGAAATATACCCTCAACCCCCCCCCCCCCCTCATATACTAAACTCACACCTGCTTAGGCTCTAACTGCTTAAACTTCAAGATTGCAGTTTTTTTTTTATTTTGTCACCCAGATCACAGAATGTCCATATAGAGAAACAGAAATGCACAGATCATCATGCATCTAACCCAGCTGCAGCATACAAATACACGGTTCACATTCCTAAACAACCATAATCTATCTCTAAGAATTGAAAGCTATATGAATTGCATGTGTTATACACTCACTGGCCACTTTATTAGGTACCCCATGCTAGTAACGGGTTGGACCCCCTTTTGCCATCAGAACTGCCTCAATTCTTCATGGCATAGATTCAACAAGGTGCTGGAAGCATTCCTTAGGGAGTTTGGTCCATATTGACATGATGGCATCACACAGTTGCCGCAGATTTGTCGGCTGCACATCCATGATGCGAATCTCCCGTTCCACCACATCCCAAATATGCTCTATTGGATTGAGATCTGGTGACTGTGGAGGCCATTTGAGTACAGTGAACTCATTGTCATGTTCAAGAAACCAGTCTGAGATGATTCCAGCTTTATGACATGGCGCATTATCCTGCTGAAAATAATCATCAGAAGTTGGGTACATTGTGGTCATAAAGGGATGGACATGGTCAGCAACAATACTCAGGTAGGCTGTGGCGTTGCAACGATGCTCAATTGGTAACAAGGGGCCCAAAGAGTGCCAAGAAAATATTCCCCACACCATGACACCACCACCACCAGCCTGAACCGTTGATACAAGGCAGGATGGATCCATGCTTTCATGTTGTAGACGCCAAATTCTGACCCTACCATCCGAATGTTGCAGCAGAAATCGAGACTCATCAGACCAGGTAATATATATATATATATATATATATATATATATATATATATATATATATATATATATATATATATATATATATATATATATATATATATATATACACACACACTAACAATCTAGATTGATTTTTGCATTCTTTTTGCCTTAGAGGTCAAAGCTTTGATATGCAAAATGCTTCACAACTGTCAGAAAACAGCTGGATTTACATCATTTTGTTAAATTACTAACTTCTATCAGGAATTTTGTGGCTATTTGTAGCGTGGGAGAAAAAAAGCAAAGAAACCCAAACATACTCGTTCACAAATACATCACAACTTGGAATCAGCTGATCATGTGTCTCACTGTGTTGATATTAAACCGGGTAACCTCAGCAAGCTCTAACCTCCATGGGGAGAATTTTGATTCCAGGAGGTGTTCATGTCGTTTAAATGGGGAAAAAAAACGTCAGTATTCAAAGGAAATTGTACTGTTTATCTGTTGATTTAACCTCTGTTTGACTGTTTTTGTGTAAAAATGTAATATAATCTCTCTCTCTCTCTCTCTCTCTCTCTCTCTCTCTCTCTCTCTCTGGGAAAGGAAAGGGCTTATATGATATATATCAGACTGGGAGGACATATCTTTTTCAAAGGCTCCCCCAGATCTTTTGTGTGCAGTACTGGTCAGGCCAGTTTAAAACTTTATGACGTTCCCTAAAATTAACTACATCAATAGAAATACTTATGTGTGCATTTAACTGATTTAACACAGATCTAACATGTTTCTTTTGAAAAAAAGCAACAGAAGAAGAAAACTTTTTTGCAACCTTATGATATTGGTAGTTTATAAAGATTTTTTTTACTTAAGTCTGATCCTCTTTTCAGGAGCAGTAACTAGCAATAAATGTATGTATTCTGCTTTTTATCAACGGGAGACTGTTGAAAAATTAGAGAGTTTTCTTAAAGCCTGATTATATCCAGAAGAATTAACAAAAGTACCTCTTTTTGTTAGGGAAACCATGGAAACACCACACAGAAGGGAGGTTTTAACCAGAAATATTTGCACTGTGAGGTGCCAGAGCAAACCAAACTGTTGGAACTGACTTTAAGATGCCAAATAAAATCTGTTTGATAATTCAGTCATAGTTACTTTTACTGTGGCTGTTCGTCATTTTTTTTTAGCACCCTCTAAAGTAAGCTTCACTCTGATTATGAAATTTCTGCAACCTTGAATTGATAAGAAAAAAGCCATTATGTAAAAACCCAATAATTTTCAGTGAAACGTATTTTTTTTGCCACTTACACTGGAAAAAGCAGCTGCACATTTAGGAAAAAAAGAAGCTCCTGCAAAAACAGACTACAGTGAAAGCACAGAAATAAGCATAGCATATTGAAAACTTTTCCAGTGCCACTGTTACCCTTCCTTTTGTCCTGTAAAAAACACAAAGCAGTCAGAGTTACTGACTTTAAGAGATTTCAGTTTTACTTTTTCAGGCTCACTCTTTAGATGTTTTCCTCCTTCTACACAATTGATATAAATGAATGGGTGTATAGTGTAATGGGATGCTAGCGATCCTAAAAGGGTGCTGAGGAAGTGATCTGATTTTAATCAGATGGGCTGTGGTGCAGAAACATCTGTGCATATAGTACATCAGCTACTTAGGAGAAGGGTAAGGGATCACTGCTTTTGAAAACTCCCCCACCTGCTTTTAGAACTTAGTCCGTAGTTTTCTGTAACTTTTTAGGTGATTCCCAAACTTAAGGTACTTTTACATTGGGTTTGTGAAAGAGGGTTTTCTTTTGAAACACATAAGGCAATTTCAATAAATTTCTACTCAGGGCTTTCAGAAATGTGGTTGGTACTTTCAAAATGTGCTTTCCTGAACCTTTAGGATACTTTCTAAAATGAACAGTGTTCAGTTATGCAGTAATTTCTCTGGAAATTGGGCAAATTTCCTGCTACATTCCTACATTTCCTGCTATATTTTGAGTACTGTATGATTAGAAAACGCTACTGTTTTTGTTCTAAGACCTATAGTTTACTTTCTGTAAATGATGAAGGGATTTCCAGTAACTTAAACAGTTTTCAGAAATGTACAGTTATTTTTCCTTCTAGGTAGATATACAGTACTTTCTAAGAACATAAATATTACCATTGTGAAACTTATTCAAGTAGTTTCTTGGATCTTTTAACATACTCTCTAAAAGTTGAGTTACTTACCTTGAAATCGGAAAGTACTATCTTTGACCTTACACAATCTCTTCTTCAATGGATACATTTTCCTGGAACTTCTAAGGTTCTTTCTGCAAATACACCTAAACGTGTTTTCATTATGTTTTAAAAGATATCCCCAAAAGCTGACATTGTCAGATCTTATAGTTTTTTTTTTTCTTTTACCAAGAAGTTTCTTAGTGGGTACTTTTTGGGTATTTACTCATTAAGCATAATTTTCATATTTTCCTATAATGGACAGCTACTTTTGTGGTACGTTATGGGTAGTTACTGGTTACTTTCATAAATCGAAAGGATAATATTTGACAACATGCATAACATAAGCTATATTAGTCAAAGTTCTGTTGCTTTTCATTACCTTATAGAGTACCTCCTGAGACAGAAGATATTTTGAGATGAATAAGTCAATTTTTACTTATTTAATTGTACAGTTCTCTGTAAGTTTAGAGTAAATAGCTCTGGAATGTATGCATTGCATTTTATATATAGTATTTATATGGTATTAATGTCAGAAAAATATGTTTTTAAAGCTTGATCAACTCTAACATTACTTTTTTACAGTATATTACACTGTAAGGATTTGAATGGTTAACCATTCATTAGACTTAAATCCAATAAAATTGTATATAAATAAAATAAACTAATATTCAAAAACC